TAAAAAACAGAGCCATTCATATCTGGTAAAGGGAAAAAAAGAAGAAGTTAACAGTATGACTCTGTTCCTTATAAGCCAGGGAATTTGGAATTTTATGCAAGTTTACAGATGATGGTACAGGAAAAACATGGGCCAGCTCCTGAGTTCTCTGTCATGAGACACTGTGAGATGTGGCACAAGAAAGCTGTGCAAAACAAAGTGGTAATCATGTAAATCCAAACATCTTATGATGCATCACAAGATCACAAACTTCTCATGCCACCAGTATACAAGCTTTTTCTTCTAACTTCATGTATAGAGCCTTAATTGCGGCACTGAGGGGCAGAAGAATTGATTAAGAAGACTGTGCTTTGATTCAGTTTTACACCAGTGAATTCAAGAAAGCTCAGCTGAATGGAATTATTACTGATGGCCCAAAGACCTGCTGGTCTAGTTGCAAGGAAGAGTCTCAGTGCAGAGAGCTGCAGGTATGGTAACTTGTTCAGCAGGATCATCTACCCCTTCTGTTGGGTGTGTCTTCAGCACACAAGGTGTGGGTGAGAGCAGCCTGCACAGCTCCAGCCCTGGTCTGCACAGAGCAGGAGCTGCTCTGTGTGTTTGCACCCTGTTTCTGGAGTATGAACCATGATTGTTTACACTGAGGTTTTTCACACATGAGCTCGGCTGAAGATGATGCAAAAACCTGACTTGATCATAGGAGGTGAGGGCAGCAGATGATGTAGGACAGGCTTTAGCCTTCTCAATGCAAATGAGCACAGGATAAACACACTGCACTACGTACAAGTTTCTCTGGTTGCAAACACCAAACATGAGAAATAGCCTGGCAGCAGAACGTAACTGCATGGGAAGAAATGAAACCCTGGGCTGTGGAGCTGGACTGGAAAGTAGTGATGAACCTTCTGCTAAGAACTGTCAAAGACAGAGTTTTCCTCTTTGCTTGCTTGCTGTACTAAACAGCAGAAAAAAAATCAGTTTGGCATGTCTCTTCATACTGGTGGACATTAAAGATAAACTTTATCTTAGAGTAAGTTCAGGCTTTCTTTGCAGAGTGGTGTGGAGTTTGGCATACGGAGGCAGTCCAGATTTGTGACATGTTTTGCTTACTACAGTTCAGGAATGTTGGGACCCTGGACTGGATACTGTTTGTACTGGGCAGTTCTGCCATTGTCATACTGATTTATCTTGCCAAGAGGCAGTTGCCTTTGCATGTCCAGAAGATCATAGCAGAGGCCCTTCATAGCCACCCCTTGTACAGCACATCAGGCTCTCATAAGTGTAAATTACTGCTTCCAATAGTTTGCATTACTGAAACTATTAAAGATAAGTGTGACTGCTGCATTTATGCTCTCTGTGCAAAATAAGGTAGCACTGGAGTATTACCCAGAAACAATTCTTCTGTACTAACTGAAAAAATCTTTGTTGTTAGTATAATTGGTCCTTCTGTTTTCAGTGTGTTTTGTTTAAGTATTCTCCAGCGTAATGGCATTTGTGGGAAATCTTATTATCACAGCAAATCTGGATATGTTCAGTAGGATTCTCATAACTTACTCTTCCTGGTTTCAGTGGCAGTCTGCCCTTCTAACTCAGCTGTACCTGTACATTTCTGCCTCACAACATACTTTGTGAAGTGGTATTAAATGCTGAGGCTTGCAAATGAAGCATCATGTTGACATCCAATGTCATTCTTACTTTAACGCCAGAGCTGTTTTTGATGTCACATGTGATGAGCTGAGTCAAATTTTTTGTTCTCTTTTGTCAGAGTTTTGCTGGATATTACTACAGGGATGTTCCTGAAACAATTACAGATTGATAGGAGAGCAGAGGTGGAAGGAGCCTCAGGAGGTCCCTCATCTGGGTTTCTGCCCCAAGAGTTCCTTCAGAATGCTCTGGGCCTTGCTTCAGTCAAGTTACGAAGATGTCCAAGAATGGAGATCCCACAACCCTTTAGGCAGTGAACTTAAAAATCATAAATCCTATGTCTTGAGAGCATGGTGCCTATCAGTGAATATTACTGTGAATGATAGAAAGTAGAAACTTTGCCCAAGAAGCTTGTTTTGATCCATACAAATACTCTTACCAGATAAAAAGGCTAAAAGAGAAGAATTGAACAATGGTTCATTTAAGAACAAGAGTCCTGTAAGAGCAAGAAGCCTTTTCATAGCAGCGTGTATTAGCACTGATAACAGGGCTGTGCTTCCAAGGGCTGCAAAACAGCAATGGAAAAGTACTACAGCATCCCTGATCATATCGCATGTCGATACCAAAGTTTTGCTTGAAGAGTCTGACCACGTCTGTGCATCTTCTTCATATAGTTGTTTGCAGATTCTTGTTCAGTGCAGCAGTACAAAGTACTAGATTCCGTGATGTGACTTTAAAATGCATCTTCTTTTCTTATGAACAACCCCTTTTAAGCAATATTTTCTTGTGGCTGCACAAATTAAATGTAAGAGATGATAGGATTTTAATCAAACACAAATTGCTGGTTGCTCCACTGAGCAGGATTAGTTCAGCCAGGTTAGACGGCTATGCTGGCTTTGTTCTTACAGGTACTCTTGTTTTGAAAGCATGAGGCAAAGCCACTGCCTGGTGCTGTGCTGTTGGTGTGCCAGCCCCTGCTTCTGCTGGGGTTTAGGTGCTGGAAAAGAACTAGGAACAGTCATGAACCTGAAGAGAGGCCTTGAGAAGCAGCTCATGGTGAATAAGAAATAGAGGACCACAGCGAGTATGCAGAATATATAATAAATATAATAAATTATGAAAGTAAAAATTCTGAACGTTAATGTAAAGAGCGTTCTCAGAAATTCTCAATGTGAAGATATAACTGTATCCTTCCTTGTTCGTGGAGAGAAGGAAGGAGCTGCCTGCTCCTGGATTGGTACCCAGGCAGGCTGTCCTCAGAGGATCTGGGAAGGAATTGCTTCTTCCTGGAGGAGCAGAAGGATCTTGAGTCTCCAGAACAAACTTTTAAATTCCAGCATTGTCTGCAGTGGAGGAGGACTGGTTGCTAACAGTCCCCCCTCAGAGATTAAGTCCAGAATTTCTGCCTCGAGAGGGAAGCAGATACTGTGGCAGTAGCTTCTGCACCGTTGCTGGCTGCATCTCGGAAGTAGGGTGCTGTTTTTTGCATCCTGGGCACAGACTACACAGAGTTTGGCTGGAAGATACTGCTTCCCTCATTACTCCATTCGCAGGGTGTGAAAAGCCAGTCTGTCTCTTGGTCTCCATGGGAAGAGGAAACTGCTAGTAGTGATTGTAGCCCAAAGATCTTTCTGTGCACCTCTGGGATCCCTACTCAGGCCTGACAGATTGGGTGACAAGTTCTTGTTGTCTTTTCCTGGTATTAATTACTTGGAATTGATCTGTCTCCTTCCTTTCCCCCAGTGTCCTTAATTCTCATAACTGTGCATACCTGTTGTAGCACTGTGTGCACAGAAGTTGTAGCAGCTCATGAAGGGAGCCATTGACAGTGGGTCAGGAGGAAGTACCTAACAACAGCTGTTACGGAGGTTCTTCAGAACAGAAACATCAAACTATTCTTATTGTCCTTGATCTTGAAAAGACAAAACAGAAAGCTCTTTAATTCAATCTTGGCTTTATTTGGGTAAAACATAAATGTCCTCTCCTCATCATACATGTTTATCTATCCTGTCAGAAACACTTCTGTTTATGGCTGAAAGCAGTAAAACAAAAGCATCCACTTGATTGAAGACAAAGTGAATATTTCTGTGCTGACAAGTCTTGATTTCCATGATTGGTTTTCATTAAGTTACAATTTTCTGTCTCTCTACTTTATGATGCTTGATGTTATAAGATGAAATTGTATTGTTATTCTTAAAATAACACTGAATACAGTTTGATTCTGTTTCCTTACATGGCAGATGCTTGTTGCAGTATTGTCTGCTTAGATACCATCAGTGCAACAAATGGAGCTCAGAAAAACCCCAACTGCAAAACCATAGCATGCTGGGTGAAAATGGGTACATTTCACAATGAAAACAGTTTGATGTGGTGTTATACAAAACCACAAAATATCTTCTTTTCCTTCTTCCTTCCTTTCATTCAAGAAAGGCTTGATAAAGAGTCATGAATGACATTTCTAGAAGCAGAACTAGATTCAGAGCATCTTGAGTCATCCCATGGAACTTGCTCATTGGAGGAAGTTGTGTTGGAGAAGGCAAAGTTTAACAGTGAGAAAATAGGAAGGAATAAAAACTTGAGTAGCTCCTTTCCTTATTTTCAGATCTGACTTAGCTGTCCCATACAGTCATTCCAATCAGGTATGGATAGAAGGTTATCTATCTGATCAATTCTCATTTGCCCAGAAGCACTTTAATGCTGTTTGGCTCTGTGCTTTTTGTGATGCTGTGCTGCAGTGAAAGGCCATGTAAACGATTAGTCTCAAACTTCTAGTCCCTATTCAGCATGTGCTTATGTGCTGTCATCTTTTTGTTTAAGTTTTGCAGACTAGTTGTATTTTGGCCTGGTGAGAATGCCAGTGGAGCTGCTTTGAAAGTGCTGTCAGTGTAGTCCTTTTATTTGGTTCGTTTCTCCACGTGGTTCATGATTCCAGTAAATGGCAGTAGGGGAGAGAGGGTTAGACATGAGAAAAATCATGGAAGTCCTAAAAACATCATAACTGCCTTTTCTTCTGGGTATTTGCTGTATGAATGGGATTCTTTGAGATAAGAGAATGTGTCCAAAGGAAGTGGAGAAATGTGTGGATGAGTGATAACATGCAGAGTGTACAGAAGAGTGCACATTAAATGCAGAAAAAATATCTGCAAGACTTGTCGATTCCTTACAGAACATAGCATACATTAGTGAGCATTTTTATACAACAAGGAAAAGAGAATAGATACACCAAGCAATTTACATTTCTGTGTATGAGTAGCAGTAGTTTTTCCTACTGTATTTGTTATGTGCCCACACATTTCTGGGGAATTCCAGTCCAAATAAAGCTGTGGTTCCTTTTATACATAAGAATTCTTATTTAATTTTTTCGTTTGAGATGTGAAATGGCAATAAATGAGTTAGATAAGGTATGAAAATAATAGACTGGAGAGAGTATCAAATGACTGAACATAAAATCACTAACTGGATGATTACATGACTAATGAATTTATTCAGCCCTAACAATCAGAGGGGTATATTGGAGAAAATGGTAGCCCTCAGTCATTCATCAGTGGATAAAACTTTTAACTAGATCAACAAAGGACAACCTGTATGAGACCTAAGGTAGGGCATAGCTGCTACTAAATCTAGGAGGTTAATTCTTGATGCACTGAATTTTGTTCCAAAAGCATCCTTTGGAAATCCACGTTTCTTCTTACTTTGAAAGCATGGTTGAAATGAGACCTTACTATACCCAGTGGAAATTCTACCATCACGTGCAAACAAGGCTGTAATTTGAAGAATACTTCTCTGAAAGTCAACATAAAGGAGTTCTATTCTTGCTGGAGAAGCATGTAGAAACTTCTCCATGTGTTTACTCACTGCAGCCATCCCCCTGGCAGGTTGCAAAATGCACCTCTTGGCTTCATTTCAAGTTGTGGTTCACTTTGACACCAGGGATGCTAGTTACATATCACGCACAACAAACAGAACACTGTTACACTGATGGAAAGTCTGATTAAGTGAAATCTTTTCTCTCTAGAGACAGGATGTGTGCTGTGGGCTCAGACTGCGTACGATGCTCCTGGTGAGCAGCACCTCGCTCTGAAATCCCCTCACACTGGCCTTGACTACTCACAGCCATGGGGAAGCAGCATAGTGACTGGTCAATCTGGTGTTCATATATGCTCTTATTTTTAACAGATTTATCTCGGACTAAAGCCTCCACAGATCAAGGATGTTGATTCTTCTGGCGTTCATTATTGTGTTTCATATAACCTCAGCAGCACTGCTGTTCATCTCAACTATTGACAATGTAAGTATCGTTTCTTCTCTTTTCCTCTCAAACATGCTGGTGTTTCTTTGCTTCATAAAAATTAAGTTATTTTTCTCTAGTTGTCTGCAACTTGCCTATTGGAAGCATGTAACTTTGTTGGGCACACTGGTCTCCTTGCATCTTTTTGTAGAAGAAATGCCTGGAGTATGCATGTTTCTGCTGTACAGGGATAGGACTATACATGTAGCTGCTGTGCATTTGTGTGGTGTCATGTTCTAAGCCCATGTCATGCAGCTCATCTTCTCCCCTTTAAGATACTTGGCCAGGGACTATCTTTAGAAGTACTACCATGCTTGCAGGGTGAAGCTGCTATGGGACTTGCTTCAGCTAGGTATGGGGGTGGTCTGTCATCCTTTTGATCAAGTACATGCAGTCAAATAGCTCATGGTCAGTGCATGGAGATAATCTCAGTCAGGCTGTGCTTTCCCTCAGAAGCTCAGTTAATTCATGAAAGAGACAGCGTGATTTTTTCTGTTTCCATTCAGTTGAACATTTTCAGCACAAAGTTTCAGAATCATTTATGTTACATTCTTTGCAAATTTTCTTTTTATTTTTGCACCCAGAAAGAATTTACTTTCCAGTATTTACATCCAGCTCTTAATTGAATTTTCCTCTTTCCAAAGAAGCCCTCCAACGTGATTGGTACTTATAGCTGTGTACTGGAATCTGGCTTTCTCTAAGAGGTTTGATATATGTACAGGCTTATGGGATTAAAAATATTGTCTGCTGAAAACACTGTGCTCAGTGATGCTGGTTTGCATCCCGGAGTCTTCTCCAAGACTGTGCTCCAAGAGAAATGGTGAATTGCCCACAACTTTTTATGGCAGAATGGTACAAACTCACATGTTATCTTTAGCCAGCTGGTTGATTTGTCTAGTGAAGTGGGTCATGAATTGAGAACCAAAGAAGGTTGTCTTACCCTGCTCCTTTAAGCATATACAAAGCTGGGATAGTGGACAAAGCAGCTTACTTTTAGTTCAGATCTGCTATATCCAAATCAAATTATTATAGTAATAGAACCACATGCACTCTGCTTTGTGCCATTAGCTACTTGCAAACAATTACAAACTTAAACTGTGTAAGCAACTCCTATTAGATTTTATCATCTTCCAGAGGCTTTTTATAGTCATGAGAATAACTCTGAAAGGATTATATAGTGCTCAGAGCTGAAAATATATTGAGCTTGGACTGCAAAATCCAAATGAATGGCATCCTGAGAAAGCAATGTTCTTTGTTAAAACAAAGTGTTATTTCTGCACATCTGCCTATGACCATAATACATTGTAGTTTTTACTGCAGTATTCTTTTCAAAGAATACTGCCCAGTAAGCTGTGAGGTTTCTGGAGTGTCTGTTTAAGCAGCAGATGCCACAAGGAGTCATAGTTGTATTTTTTCAGCTGTATTGAAAGCAAAGGCCGGGGCAGCTATTGGAAGGGGAATGGGTTTCCTGGGGAAATGCCACTCATGTGGAGTGCTTGGGATTTCCCAGGCTTCCATACAAATCCCTTCAGTCACTGCAGCACCACTTTGTGTTGTTAAAACAACAAAGTACAAATACCACAGGAGGATCTTAATTTGTCACCAGTCACTTCCAGTCAAATGCCACAGCATACATCCTGCGCTCTCATACCAACAGCACAGCTATGCTGAGCTGAGATTAATTCAATCCAGTGTCAGGAACCAGAAAATGAATAAAGGGCTTCTGTTTCATAGGTGCTATATATTCTGTTTCATTCCATGCTATTGCCTGTGAATTAGAATGTGCTGGGCCTTTAAAGAGTTGTGCATCCTAAATAGGATTTGGAGGAACAAAGCAGATCTTATCTAGGTACCTTTTTGAATGAGCAGCCACTGACTATCCAAAATTTCTTCTTGAACAGTGGAAAATCCCTTGTGCTTTGGGATGTTAAAGATTGCCATTTGTTCAGGTCTCAGTGAAAATGACTTGATTAATGATACACCCTTTCATCCAAAATGCTATTACATGTCAAATTTAGTTTGAGCAGTTAAGTATCAAAACTGAAGAGAAATTTGTTGCAGTTGATTATAGACTGAGGGAGCTGGGCTTGTTCAGCCTGGAGAAGGCTCCAGGGAGACCTTAAAGCAGCTTCCCGTGCCTAAAGGGGCTGACAGGAAAGCTGGAGAGGGACTTTAGCCAAAGGGGAATGGCTTTAACCTGACACAGGGGAGATTTATGTGAGCTCTTAGGCAGAAGTTCTTCCCTGTGAGGGCGGTGAGGCACTGGCACAGGTTGCCCAGAGAAGCTGTGGCCGCCCTATCCCTGACAGTGTTCAAGGCCAGGTTGGACAGGGCTTGGAGCAACCTGGTCTAGTGGAAGGTGTCCCTGCCTGTGGCAGGATGGAACTGGATGAGCTTTAAGGTCCCTTCCAATGCAAACCAGTCTGTGATTCTATTCTATGATTCTGTTTGCTCAAGAGAGCTAAGGAGTTTGGGGTGGGTAGGTGGTTGTTGAGCTTTGTGGATTTTGGTTGTGGGTGGTTTTGTTTGCTTGTTTTTGTGGGTTTTTTCCCCCTGTAAGAGCCCTTTACTTTTATTTTGCAGGCCTGGTGGGTAGGAGATAATTTTTCTACAGATGTCTGGAGTATGTGTGACACAAATACTAGCACCTGTATGGCAATTACTGATCAGTTCACAGGTGAGTGTCTCACTGTGCCTGTCTCAGTTCCTTTAGCAGGAGATCTGGTGAAATCAATACAAAATATGTAGGAGCAATAATCTATTTGTTCAAAAATCTGTATGCTCTAACTACTTGGGTTTTCTAAAAGCTTTAGTACTGGCTTTTCATTTTGGAAAAGCCAGTTGTTTTTGTGAGAGGAAAACTGAGGGAACTGTCAGGTGCTCTTGAGAGCCCAGGGCAGGAGAGGTGAGCAGATACCAATGAGCGCTAAAGGGTTCTGTAAATAAAGGGATCAGTGAAGCCATCTGAAAGTGTGGCTTAAGTGACAGAATTTGCCTCAGAATTTGAACTTTAACTTTCACAGTGGAAATTAAAAATACTGGCAGCGTACAGGAATTAGGGAAAAAGTGAAAGAAAATCAGAGCACAGGGTGCATTTGTAACAGAGAGAACTTAACGTACAGCACAGCCTAATACCCTGCTTTACCAAACATAGAAAAATTCTCAGATGTTACATTACTTTATTTTTGCACTTTTGATCTTTGTCTCTATTGAAGAGGTAGACGATTTGAAAAGCCATGTACCCATAACCTTCCAAGTATCAATTTGGCTTTCAGGATATGTATCCCTGCCCAAGGCAGGGTGGTTGGACTTGATGAACTTGAAGGTCCCTTCCAGCCCAAACTATTCCATGATCCTATGATACCATGCTGCAGGTGGTCTGTTCCACACAGGCGTTCTTGAGCTAGCGCAAATGCAACACATTTGCATTTGATGTCTATATTACTATGCATTCGTTGCTATTGGGTACCCAAACTAGGTAGGTTGTAAGTAGCTGAGGTGCATCTGCTGTTCCAGAGCTACTGTTGGTGTAGCTTTGCTAAAGGAAAAGTGCTGTGAGGAGCTCATCTGTGTAGCTGATCTTGTCTGCATCGCTCAGGCAAAGGTACACAAAGAAGCTATGGGTAGTTACACATTTTTGGTTACTTTAGCTCTTAGTTATAGGGAAGTAATAGACAGGGTCAAAAACCTGAATCAAAGGAATCTTTTGTGCAGAGTGTGGATATCCTGTCTGGTTAATATCTCATTGGAAAAAGCTGTCTTCAGGCTGGTGAGAGGCCCAGGTCTGTGTTTGTAAGCCATTTGGGATCCCTGGCAGTTTTGCTGTGCCTTTAGTACACTGATGGTAGTAAAGGAAGTGGCGGGGAGAAACAGTGTCTTCAGTATTTTTATGCAGTTTTATGAAAAGCTTTTAGAAGTCCATAACCCCCTGGCTGTTTTAATACCATGGAAGCAGAGAAGAACCACTCTGAGCAATGCGTGCACAACTGGTTTGCTGTAGCTGCTGAACTGGTTCCAGAGCATAGCTCTGCCTTTCTGCTAATTGCAAGAGTAGGTGAAGAGAGAAACTGTATTTTTAACCGTGACTGCTTTTGTCTTTTCAGAATATCAGTCAGTTCAAGCTGTTCAGGCCACCATGATCCTATCTACTATTTTCTGTTGTGTGGCATTTCTGGTTTTCATTCTTCAACTCTTCCGTCTGAAGCAAGGAGAAAGATTTGTGTTAACCTCTGTTATCCAGCTCCTGTCATGTGAGTAATTTTTCAACACTTATGACTTTAATAATGTTTACACAAAAGTAGGAAAGGAAAGGGGAAAAAGGTTTCAAAAAGAATGAGCTGCATGAGGACTCTTGAGGCCGTAGCTTATACTTTGTACTTGTTTAAACAGTGAACTGCCCTATTCTGTACTTTTTAGGCAGTTAAAACATGGATGACATGACTGCTCAGAATAAAGTCATTTAAACATTGAAGGGAAAGAATCTGAGATTCCGATCTTCATGGACAAATTAAATAACTACATAGCTGTTACAGGCAGGTACTCCATTTTTTGCTAGGCTTTAAAACTATGCAGATGTTTAGAATCATTTTGTGTGCACTCCAAAGAACATAAACACAGAACAGCACTTCAAATTTAACCCACGCCAAAGAAACTGAAAATGTGTCCTGAAACACTCTGGGTTTAGTCTGCAGATGGAAAATGAGTGTCTGCAAAAAAGGGCATTGCTGGAAGCGTCTGACAGAAGAGTAACAGCGAGTAAATAGTTGTTGTGCATATTGATAGTATTTTAAGATGATAAACTTTATTATTTTCTTCTTCCCCCAGGTCTGTGTGTTATGATTGCAGCTTCCATTTATACAGATAGGCATGAAGAGCTACACAAGAGCAATGAGTATAGGATTGGAGTTTCTAAAGGCCAGTATGGCTATTCCTTTGTCTTAGCTTGGATTGCATTTGCATTTACTCTGATCAGTGGTGTTATGTACCTAGTATTAAGGAAGCGTAAATAAATGTCAAGCAGCTAGTCATTTGTCACGGCAGTACAAAACCAAATTTCAGTAACCATTTTGTATATAATCATTTACATGGTTTTGTAGTAAAGGTATTGTTTCTCTACAAATGTACTGTGTTCTTGATATGAAACAGAATTAAACAAAATGGCAGGTTTAATGGGTGCCTGGCACCTCTAGGTCAGGGGCTGAGCAGGACAGAGCCACCCTGGTTCTTTTACCTATTTCATCATCACAAACCGTTTTGCCTTAACTAGATGTTAACAGTTTATTCCTGGCCTCTAGAAGATTGCAAATGAAGCCCATGTAAATTAATTTGTAAGCAGCGTGCTACCTGTATTCCTGGACCAGATATTTCCCTTTGGAATAGGTTAAATATAGGGGGAGTGAAAAAAATGAGGCCCAGATCACACTGAAAGCAAACAATTACAGAAGGCCAAAGCCGCACTCGCTGCGCCTGGCAGAGGACTCATGTTCTACTCTTTACAATGTGCAGTAAGTGTCATCAAGCTTTTATTAAAACCACTTGCTTTGCAAAAGTAAACAACCCTTTTTTGTACTCCAGCAAATTATTCTCTTGATTCTCTTTCACATTTAATTGAAACACACAGAGCCTTTGGCAGGAGAATTTACCAGCAAATCCAGTGAACAACTTGGGACCAGAATAGTCTGGGCAGTAAGAAACACCCCACTCAAGTCCCATACCTCTTTAGTTTTGCACTGTGTGTAGTCTCTCTGGAAGGAAAGAAAAAAAAAAAAACCCAACATTACCCTGCCTACATCTGCAAATTTCCAAGCAAATTGGTGATCAGTTAAAGCCAAATGCATGTTTCTATAGCCAAACTCAACATGGTTATTACACCAGGCTTTGATTATATAGCAATTTCATGGCTATTGTGTCATTTACAAAAGCATTCCCTGAGTCTGCCAATTAGGAAATTGGCCTTTAAAAATTCATTCTAGATTCCACTGTGGATTTTGCTTGAACCAAACACTGCTACTAAATAAATCAGAGTGTGATTACTTTGCTTATGAATTCCAGGCCAGTTTTGCAAGATAAAATGACTTGGTGGTTTTTATTTTGCAGGCATTTTGCAAGATAAATCTATACTGTAATAGCAGGCTCAACTGCTCAGCAGTGTAATACTGGCTTTGGCTGTTGGTGACTTTGGAGTTGGGAGATCAGTGTGGAGAGTGAAGTGGCTTTTTCTGGTTAGTCACAGCTTTGATGCTTAAATATAGATTTGACTTTGTAAAAGCACTAACCAGTTACTTCAGTATGTTCACTAGAGCTGGCCCAATATACAGGCAATAAAAAAGTAAGTAGGTTTTGAATGAGGTCTTACATTTAATGCAGAAAAAAATGGTTACTACAAAGTAGTATAGCTCTACTGAAGTCTATACTTACTGCAGTATACATCAGCTGATGGTCTGACCCATGCCTTCAGGTAACTGATCCTTGATTTCTCAGAAAATTACAGTTCAGGTGCATAACTCTGTAGGAACTGTCACCAACATGAGTAACAGTCATACAATTCCATCTCCATTCCTTGAACATCCTAAAATACTTTGGCTTGTACTAGTTGTCTTTTGGGAGCAAAGAAAGCCCAACAGGATTGTTAAAAAATTAGATGGAGGACAACAGATTAGAAGATAATAGTAAAAATGCCCACATCATCTGAGCAAGACTCCCCAGTCTAGCATGATGCTAGTGTTTTGTCAGGGCTTTTTCCTCACAGTGGGAACACTCTGAATTTCCAGAATTACTACCCTACTTTTTTAAAAAGTGTTTCTACAGTTTGCTGAATACATTTCAGATTCAAAACCTGAATTCTGCTGGCAAGAAGAATTTGTCTTAAAACAAGCAGATGCAGGTTTAAGGTTGAAAGTAGACAGACTATTATCAGGTGTTTTGCTAGTTGTATTCAGACATGAAACAGTAAGGGAAATTCCTAAGCAACTATAGATTCAAACTGCCTTATATCTAGAGGAGTCCTGTAAAATTCTGAGTTAAGCTGTTACACCACTGGCTTGAAGAGATGCTTCTTCAATTTCTCGCCTCAATAATGTTCAGGTCATTTATAGAGCAGATATTTAAAATAAGGATATATATATACATGAACACACAGCTTAATTCCTCAGTGAGAGCACTGACCCTTAACTAAAGTGAAAAGCACGCACATGACGGTATACAAGCAGCAGCATGCTCATGATGCCACGTAGAGAAAATGGGAAATGTTATGCACACCAAGAAAAATGCCAAACCAGTGTGAACTAGAGTTTTAGCAGGACAAACATACTTTTGGATATTCTCTCTACCTGATAATGCCTTTAAAATGGTTACCATTTTCTGTGCTCTATATATTCTGAAACTGTACGTGGAAATAAAAGAAATTCTTGTACTGTAATAGCAAGCTCAATACATTTAGCAATCTGACTTTGTCTTTAAGCTTGGGATATATTTACACAATGTTGGATGAAAAACAGTTGAGTATTCGTGTGAACAGGTAAAATTAAATTCTTCCTGCCTGTACTAGACCCACAAGCTAATTTTTTTTGTCCTTTGTCGAAGATCTTCCAGGGCAAGCAGAGAAAATACTAGTGGATTGTACATTTAAGTGCATCATGTCAAAAGAATACCTACTAAGTAATGCAAGACCCACAGGTGCTCTGAGTTTACTTGTGAGATAATCTGCAGAAACAGCTGTGTATTTAACATCAGGTTGAGTGCCTGGACCCTGTGAGAAAGTAATGCTAGAAACAGGCCCATCACTTCTATATCCAAGGGTCAGGTTTGCATTGAGATGGTAACACCACAGATGGGCTTGTACAGATTGATTCAAAACACCCCCCCTCAATCGCCAGAAATTATTTCCCACACCCCTTCTAATCATAGTGAACAAAAGGGAAAAATCCAAACTATGAAAAGATTCACTAGCAGCTGTGACTACCCTGTCCTCTTTTACCCAGCATCTGAAAGGAAGCACAGGAAACAATCTTGGAAAACATATCTGAAATATTTACGTCAATATATGTATCACTTTTAAAAAAAAAGTATTTTTTTAAATGTGTATCATTCAGGAAAAGAAGTTCTGAATGAAGTTTTGTACTACCTTTTCATGAGATACCTTTAAAAACAAAAAAAGCACTGTAGGTGCTAGAACTGTGCTGCTTTAGTATGAACTATTTTATTAGCCCAGCTACATCAACAGTTAATTTTTTATGGTTCTTAATGGCTTGAAAATAATGGAGGGTCTACGGCACTGTTGGCTTATCTTCAGCATTGTGGAAGCTGGTGCCATTTACCTAAGGAGACAGAAGAATCCTTCCTACAGTTTCTACAAATAGGAGTAAGAGGAGCCACTACCTTTACAAACACTAAATAGAGCTAAGATCCCCAAAATCTTGGTTCATCAATGGCACAGAAAAAAAATTAAGCTGGAAATCTTACTTTTTTTATTTCTTTCGTATGTGCAATAATCCCCTCTAACGTAGTACGATGAAAGTGAAAAGTGGAAGTAAATTAGTTTTAAAGACAAGCTTACAGAATTAATGGGATAAAGTTCGTAACAGACCATAAGTAGGAAACATAAGGAAATTAGTAGTATCTGCAATAATGCTTTGACTTGGAACTCACTGCAAGTAACAATATAGTACTTAATAGTGGAATAGCAGACCACTTGTTAGGGTAGTCTGTGTCTCCTAAAGAGATTTTTAAGCAGTTGAAGTAAGCTTGTATATGACAAGCTTATATGTATATGTATATGGTCTATATTTGCATTGAATGACAAAGTAGTGCTCCTGGGGGGTGATAAGCTGTGATAAACAGCAAGCCACTGACAGTGGCAAAGCCCTTATTTTGCCTGCTCCCATGTGATGCAGAACTGTTACCAAGGTTTTCATGGAACAAATCCAAGTGGTAACTGTGGGGAAGGAAGCACACTGCAGTTCAATTCCTGTAAGCACTGTAGCCGTTGGGTTTGGCAAATAAGCCGCTTCTAGTTTCAAGATTCTGAGGGTCTTGGAATTCTTCAGTAAGCTCTGGACAAAGAAATCCTTGGCAGTGGAGAAGGATGTGGGAACTGCTTGAAAGTAGGCACGAAGACAAAACCAGTTGTTATTTGAACAACGGCAACAACAAATAAGCCAGTTACACTACTTCTTACTAATAAGTAGCTTAGCTTCATGTAAATCTGTTCACTTCTGAATTGTTACTGTCTGTATAGTTCCCAAACCATCAGAAGTGCCACAGATTACATGGTGTTCATGTCTTAGTATTTGGCATGTTGCTGACATAGAAAATACTTCTTAGTCCATAGTAATAACCACTTAGCACAACAACTTGTATGTTATCAGTAGGAATGCTGTAAAGTTTCCCATTATGTCTAGAGGGGTATTTACTTTTGATCATGACTGCACTGAATTTATAGGGGGAACAGAGTGGTGTTTGTGTTTTTTTTTTCCTATCAATAAATTAACCAAAAAGCCACAACCCTGTGCATGTACTTAGTTTGAAACCAGGTGTACATTGCACAGCTGAGTAAAATGGCAGGTGCCATCATGAAACTCAACTGCTACAATAAATTTCAACAGATATGAGCCAGTCCTCATGATGACTGAACTGCACCACATGGTGCAGATTTTGGCCCATTTTACTGCTGCTGCTTGAAGAAAGCCTGTGTTCTATTTCTCTTCACAAAACAAACAAAAACAAACAAAAAAAGTGAAACTATTTCTAAAAAAAACCCAGTTGTGTTGCTGTCATAAATGCTAAAGTTCAGAAACTTCAGTTTAGCCAAAACCCAACTATGTACACATTGCTACAAAGGAGGTGGTAGGAGTGTAACACATGCGCACTGCTTCACAGACTCAACCTTCTCAGTATGTTATTGAGAAGTAAAAAAGGTGCCATTTTTATTTGAGAGGCTTGGGTTTTTTTTTTTTAATACTACTTCAAATATTTTCATTTATAGTAAAATATGTTCAGTAGAAAAAAATCTCAAAGTATCTGTATTGAAAAATTAAAACTGGTTTGTATCCTAAAAGCTCATAGGGTGAAAGTTTTAAGTCTTACTAGAAAATCATGTTTTCACACGTTTTCAGGCATGGCAAATTTGGAAGAGGAGGGAAAGAAAGGAAGTTAAAAAAGGAAAAAGAAGATAAAGAGGGAAGGATGACTGGAACAGGTTTTGGGGTTAGGGGTTCTGGGTGTTTATTTCTAGTGACGACACCTCTGTCATCACTTCTATGATGTTTCACTCTTCCAATACTGTTACAACAGAGCCTCCCTGTGGTGAGAGAAGCCTACTCCCTCAAAGCCAGCTTTAAACACTCCTCCTTTTCCATTTGGAAAGGTCTTGAAAGTCTAACTTCTCACCAAATTCTAAACTATCCTGCAACAGGCAAATCCACAATTTAAAAATCAATATAATATGAAAGTTGAATAAAAGAATGCCTCATTTGATGTTTCTTCTCTCAGCTTTAGGAAGCCTTGACTGATGCAGACTGGTTTTGAATTCTGATGGTTTGATAGGTATTTGTAAGCTCCTATTTGTTCTGCCTGCAAACAAGATGCAAACTTTAACTATTATTTTTCTACCTATCAAAAGACAGCTTTGTTAGAATCCTTACTTCACAGATGGAGGAGTTTTCGCTGTATGCTGTGGTTTTCCCCTTATTGTGAGATGTGTTAATTTCAAACTTAACACTTATCTTTGCAAAAAAAAACCCACCAAGAGAAAATTTCTTGCAACTGGAAGATTGCTTCAGTTTAGGCCGGATAGATTAGGTGAAACTTGAACAGAATGAGTCCATCTTGACTCCTCATAACCACTGATTTTCATCTTTCAGTTATACTTTGAGGAAATAGGATTTCGTCATATTCATGGCTCACCACAAGCTATTTAGAACACCATCTAATTAAGGTCACTTTCTAGTACAATCAGTCAGACCTAGTACCAGATACACCAACAGTATTTTTTCTTTGATATTCTTACAGAAAATAGTTACTCAACTGATGACTTAAGCATGAAACACAACAGGTTTGTAGCAGTTTTCACACAAATTTAGACCAACAAAGTTTTATCTACCACCTCCTCCCATCAAAAAAAAAAAAAAAAATCCCCATAGTTTACTTTTTCCCACTGACTGAGCTGCTGTCACAAATACAACTGCACTGACTTCATGCACTAAGAAAGGTTATGAAAAAAAACTTCAGTCCCATCGTGATCTCTAGATTTCTCTGAGGACATACAGATTCCCATGGTGAAAAACATGTGCTCCTCAGGACTTGGAGTTTTGCAATTATTTATTATTATTTTCCCAAACAATCAGACATTTCAGAGATGGACTACACAGAACCAAAACAGCTCAAAAAGCATTCTGAACACAGACAAATACCTGTGTCCTTTCAAATGGGAAACCAGTAACTTCGTTTTGTTTAAGGGATCCACAAGTAAGCTTGGCTAGGCTGTCAATGCTGGGAGAAACAGACCTATTTTTATTCTTTAAACGTTCACCTTCTATCCAAAATGAAGAATAAATCAAGCTGAGTAAGTGCTTACAAAACTAACATAGTTCAAGATTGATCAACATTTCTTCCCCTCTCATTTGCTCAACTTGCTGTGACCTGCAACCTAATTGCTTCTGTAGCTTTCCATGCAGTACAATCATCGAGGAGACATGTTTCCATTTTGAAGGGGAAAAGCAGCATGACATCTCATCACTTTTCATATCACTCTTTTCCCTCTAAGTTCACCTTTAAGAAGACAATAAAACAATAATAAAAGCAAAATGTATGACAGTCCACATACTGTTCCTATGTTTGTCAGAAATCTAAGCCCCTCTAATAGGAACTCAAAATCCAGGATATTGAAGCAGTCTATGGACCATCCACAACAATGGTTTTGTTTGAAAAAAAGTATTAAAATCACCCAGAGTTTATTTTTTACCTGAACTGCTGCTGACATTTCTGCTTGTGTGTACATTTGATTTGTTAGAATAGCTGTAACACAATTTTCACAGAAGTTTAAAATATATAAACATATTTTATCTAAAAGGCTTAATTTACACTGTGACAGGAATACCTTTTAATCCTTATCAGAGCAGCAGAATATTACCAATCCCCCCTCCCAAAACACATGGGACAATAGTCTTCGAGAAATTACAGGCTCTCGGTATTACCTCTAAGACGCAACTATCCAGCAGGTCACCTCAGCCTGCCTGGTATAGTTTGAGAGGGATTCTAAATACCAATGACATCTTTGTAAGGAAGCAGGGGGAGAAAGCATGCATTCTGAGGTGCTGTTCAGGATGTGAGCTGACGTTTCGCTAGAGGTTCTTCCCCAGTAAATCAGTTCAATTGCAATGAAAAAACCCCCATGTGTGCAGAGAGGACAAACTGTGTATTACTCTTGATTAAAGAATTGAAGAATCATAGAATCATGGAATAGTAGTTACGGTTGGAAAGGACCTTAAGATCATCTAGTTCCAACCCCCCCTGCCATGGACAGGGACACCGCACACTAAACCATGCCACC